TTTCCTCTACCGATCGTCTTTGGGTGATACCAAGAAAAAGATAAAAGTAATAAGAGAAAGAAATCTACCAAACACGTGAATAACTAAAGTACTAAGCCTATACGCCAGGAGAGAAGATACACTAGGAAACCTATCAGCGAGCGTAAAGGTAGTTTGATACCTAACAAGCTGCTAAAACTTTAGGAATAATTGCTTGAACAGTCAATCTGTGTATTTATTTGTTGGTATTTCTGAAGGTTTATCTATTTGTTTTATCTGTTTGTTCGATAACATGTTTGTGTGTTCGTTTTTTTTTTGTGTTAATCTGCTTTTTTATTTGTTATGTGTTTTGTGTTTAGTTGCTTATCCGTTTTTATATGGTTTTTTATTTTTTTAATGTGGTTATTTGTTATACTTTTTGTATATCTGTTTAACTGTTTGTTTATCTGTTTAAATGTTTATTTGTTATTACTTTCTCGTAAACAGAGTATAGAGGAAGTATTGTAATCAGTACTTCATCATATACGGAGTATAGGGGACTTGTTTTAATCGGGCAAAAATTATCCATCCAGATGGATAAAGCTTTCGCGTTTTATGCGTAATCAAGTCGGAAAACTGGGTTTTGCAATTTTGTCCGTGGGTGTGTGTGTGTATGTCTGTGAACAAGATAACTTGAGTACCGTTACAGCCAGGTTGATGAAATTTCATAAATAAGTATTATTTATATCAAATTTGTAGTTCAGTATCAGCTTTTCAGCGATTTCCGGTAACCGAAAGTGGAACTTATTCCACTTTCAATTTTTCAAAAAGCTACTACTTGAGAACTGTAGAAATTTCATATAGAAAAAAAAAAGATCTAATTCTTTGCTTTCTTTCAAATTTTGAGTAATTTCCGTTGACCGGAAGTAGTAGTTTACGCTTTATTTTTGTATATGTGTTTATCTATTTGTGTATTTAATGTAATTATTTTTTATTTTATTTTTCTGCTTCCGTGTGATCATCCTCCATACAATCCACCCCTTTGTACTTTGCAGCAGGTATGTGTAGGAGAAAATAATTCAATAATATACCAATCACTGAACTCATTTCGAACTTTTACTCCATCGCTTTCGGAAAGAAGTAGGCACTTTACCAAAAATGTTTCAGTAGTCGAGAGAGAGAGAGAAAGGGGGGGGGGGGGTAGAATGGGACCAGTTAGTTATAGGTGGCAAACATTTCGTTTAGTCAGACACCGTTTACGACTCACTTAATTAGATCGTAATTAGATAAGTACCGGGGGGGGAGATGACCTCGGCGTAGCGGGGTTTCCCGGAAAGAATTCAGCAGATAACGGAAACCTGCAGGTCAGCTAAAGGAGAAAGTGAGAGGTGTAGGTGGAGCAGTTGTTGCTGTAGGTTGGTTGGGTGCATGGGAGGAGGGAGTGGTTGTGGCGAATAGTGGTGGGGCGTATTGGTGGGGTGTTTTGGGAGGTTGTGGTGTGTGTTGGTGGGGTGTACTTGGAGGTTGTGGTGTGTGTTGGGGGGTGTGTAGAGAGGTTGTGGTGTGTGTTGGTGGGGTGTACTTGGAGGTTGTGGTGTGTGTTGGGGGGTGTGTAGAGAGGTTGTGGTGTGTGTTGGTGGGGTGTACTTGGAGGTTGTGGTGTGTGTTGGGGGGTGGGTAGAGAGGTTGCGGTGTGAAGATACGATTATTAAAAATATTTTAAGATAAAGTCTACGACGATGACGAAGAAGATGATAATCATGAAAGTTGTGAAGATGAGGACCATGACAATGAACATGAAAGTTGTCACAATGATGACTAAGACAATGAACATGAAATTTGTGATGACTAAGACAATGAACATGAAATTTGTGATGATGAAGACAATGAACATGAAAGTTGTGACGATAAACACAATGACAATGAAAGTTGTGAAGATAAAGACAATGACAATGACAATGACAGTTGTGACGATGAAAACAATGAACATGAAAGCTGTGATGATGAAGACAATGACAACGAAAGTTGTGACAATGAAGACAATGACAATGAAAGTTGTGACGATGAAGACAATGACAATGAAAGTTGTGACGATGAAGACAATGACAATGAAAGTTGTGACGATGAAAACAATGACAATGAACATGAAAGTTGTGACAATGAAGACAATGACAATGAAAGTTGTGACGATGAAGACAATGACAATGAGAGTTGTGACGTTGGAGACAATGACAACGAACATGAAAGTTGTGAAGATAAAGACAATGACAATGACAATGACAGTTGTGACGATGAAAACAATGAACATGAAAGCTGTGATGATGAAGACAATGACAACGAAAGTTGTGACAATGAAGACAATGACAATGAAAGTTGTGACGATGAAGACAATGACAATGAAAGTTGTGACGATGAAAACAATGACAATGAACATGAAAGTTGTGACAATGAAGACAATGACAATGAAAGTTGTGACGATGAAGACAATGACAATGAGAGTTGTGACGTTGGAGACAATGACAACGAACATGAAAGTTGTTAGGATGAAGACAATGACAATGAAAGTTGTGACGATGAAGACAATGATAATGAACATGAAAGTTGTGACGATGAAGACAATGACAACGAACATGAAAGTTGTTAGGATGAAGACAATGACAATGAAAGTTGTGACGATGAAGACAATGACAATGAACATGAAAGTTGTGACGATGAAGACAATGACAATGAATGCTTGTGAAGATGAAGACATTGACAATAAACATGCCAACAGTGAGATGCAGCGACTTGTCCATCAAGAAGAGCAACACCCCAGATCCACACAAGACGCAAAATAAAACACACTAACTTTAAAAAAGTGTTACGTCCCTTGGGGATTTTTTTGAATGGGGCCATTGTGTTTTTTTTTAGAATCACAGATAATAGACTAGCCTAGCCACAGTTCACACTGGGATCGTATTTAAGTGTCACCCACTGCCTCCCCCCCCCCCTCCACCCCCGGGGTCGTCTTTAACCCCCCATCTCTCATCTGTCATGACACATGCAACAAAAGCGTGTACATGTCTCGTCTGTCTAGACGAATACAAGACTACCCCGACCGTGGCTCTATGTTGCCTAACTTTTCAAGATGTTAGAAATCTAATCTGCTGCGGTGTCTCTGGCAATGGGTGGTTGTCAGTTCCAGCTATTATAAAATTAATTATTTCGTGTATGATAGCAGACATGTTGAATATGGACACCTTGTGTACAATTTTTAAGACGTGCACAAGTGATCCAAGTACCTGTCTGTGACTCTATAGATCACTTGTGTTGGGTTTATTTTTTTTAATTTTATTTTTTAAATTATTGCAGGTTTAAAGCGCCAATGCTTAGCTAGACGCTTCACATTACAACAAGGCGAAGGAAGTTCGGTTGCCTGAAAAGGTCAAGTTTCAAAGAAAAACATGTCTTCGGTAATTCAGACATGTATTATCCGCGAACTAAGATATCACGCGATTTTTTTTTATAAATTCCATTTAGTTTGTATTTTTTTTTCTCTCCTCCGGAAGCTGTTGTTTTGTTTACAACCTGTGAAGGTTAGTGGAAGTTTATCGCAGGAGTTACGGTTCTTTTCACACCAGTCTGACGGAGTTATCTTTGATCTAGAGACGCGTGACGTCGGTGTGTTGACTTTTGCTTTTGTTGCCGAGTGTCAAATCTGTTGTGACGTACACTTTTACCTGCTGTAGCGGGGGGGGGGGGGTGTTGTCACGGTAGGTCAAAGCTAAGTAGAATATGCGTTGTTTTATGGTAATAAATCAACGCTTGACATACTCGTAATAAATTGCTTATAACCTGCTAACGTTCGCTTCTTTATTGTTGGAATACCTGCTGGAAAATATTGGTTTAACGTCAGATTAGGGTAAAGTTTAAAATAATATTCGCGCGAAATTCCGAGTTCGAACCCCGGGCAGATGAGGCTTGATAGCTAGGGAGAGTAACTCATCTAGGAGAGAAATAACACAATTTAAACAACTCCTGTTTTATAGGTTGATCTTGTGTGTACAAAAACTATGAGGCAAATCCAGAAAGAAAATTAGGCTGAAGTGGGAGTCAACGGCATATACGACGCAAAACATGTTAACATACGGAATGCTGATAAAGTCAATCACCTCCAACCAATATTACTATAAAGAAAAAGAATAAAGATATAAGCCAAATAAAGGTGCCGCACGGGCAGTAACTCCCCCTTCGCTCCCCCTTTAGTGAGGCCACTTCTTGTAATAAAACCAATCAATTAATGGTGTCACCCCCCCCCCCCCCCCAGAGGCGTAGCGACCCTTCCCGGGGACAAACTTTCAAATTTTCGATTTGCACCCCCCCCCCCCTCAAGTTTTTCTCTATATATTTTGCTATTTTTTGCCTTGGTGTCACCCCCCTAAATGGTGTCACCCGGTGCGGTCCACACCCCCCCCCCCTATCGCTACGCCCCTGAAACCAATATTAAAACCACGATCCTCCATTACGAGTTTCACTTCTCTATTTGTATGCTGAATGCTTAGAGAAAGGGTTATAAAAAATTTAAGAAAAAAACATTTCTGACATTTGTTTTCTTTCTAATGGAAACAGTAAACTCCACTGATAACATTTCTAATTTATCTCAAACTAGCAAAAAAATATAACTCCTGTAACGTTTTTAACCAGGTTTAGACATTTAAGTCGGATCAGATACAGAATAGCAGGATAAACATAAAACAACCCAAGTTTTGTCAATGTCGGGTAATATAAAAGGTCTAAGAGAAACTTTAGTTCAGGTCAGAGTGGTCGGTTTAGGTTTATGGGAGGTCAGAAAGGATATGTTAACAACCAAAATATGCATATATATATATATATATATATATATATATATATATATATATATATATATATATATATATATATATATATATATATATATATATATATATATATATATAACCTGCTCTTATAACTTCGACTGAACTACTCCAGGGCAAGTCTGTTAATTCTCACAAAAGATTCAATACGATATTGTACCATTCGCATCTTGACAAGTTCTTCAAAGAAAAATCTATTCTTAAACATAATTGACCATATTTTTTTAAAATCTAATTTCGTATTCAAGAAGTCAACCGCAGGCTTTTCTTTCTATTCTAAAATTTGCTCCGGTGACAGTTTTTCAAAACTCCCCCACAACCACACAAATTCTATTTTTAGATTTGCTTCGGGTGACACTTTTCACACCCCACCGTTCACTTCTCAAAACACGGATAAAAATTTTATTCTCAGAACGGCAAACTTCCGTACCGGCTTTGGCATTTCGTCGCAGCAGACGCTCGTCCTGATTGATTATTTCTATTTTAATTAACGCAAGCAGGGCCGGTGTAAGGCGATCCGATCAGGCAAAATTTGCTTGATCGCGAGACTTCGTGCTCCAGCGAACTATGGCGAGTTGGTGTTACAATTAACACCCATGGGTGTCATGTCTGGGTGGTGTGTGTTTCCAGCACCCATAATGCGAAATCACAAATGTGTCTTTTTAGCACCCATAATGTGAACTCACAAATGTGTCTTTATAGCACCCATAATGTGAAGTCAATAAACCGGGAGTGATCTCCCCTAAACTTTCTCGAATATTCTTATATAACACTACGGGGGATGGCAACTCGGGATATTGACATGATTTTTAATCCATTTTTAATTACTTAAACTTTTTAAAATAGAATAGAATCTCGTAGCAAATAGAATTGCACACCAAGTGAACGCCAAACAATATGTGTATAATAGTGCGGAATATTATTAGTACTTTGTAAATTCACTTGCGTTTTTTGAGAAATCGAAAATAGCGTGAATTATTACTTCCGTTCAACAGATATTACTCAAAATGTGACACGTGTTAAATTTCATTTATCTATCTGAAACAGTACTCAAGGTAAAGGCTTTTGAAAAATTGAAAGTAGATTAAACGCCACTTCCGGTTACCGGAAATCGCTGAAAAGTTGAAACAGAACTACAAATTTGATACAATACTTATATATGAAATTTCATCAACCTAGCTGTAACGGTTCACAGACACACATACACACAGAGACATACGGACAAGATTGCAAAATTATGTTTTTCCTACTCAGGGAGGTGTAAAACGTCGAGATTTGCAAAATTCTCGATTTTTTTTTTTTTGCACGATTGCAATACTTTCTCTATACTCAGTATACGAGAAAGAAAAAATGTGTCTTTTACAACACCAATAATGAGAAGTAAAAGGTGTGCCTCAACTAAAGTAGATGGGAGGCTGAGAGCTAAATATAGAGCGTCACGACTACGATGTGTGTACACAAATCTTTATTCGGATGTATATAAACAAACAGTACTAGACAAGGTATAACAATTGATACAGCACCTTCCAACATCCAACAAACTGTATAACACAGTTGATACAGCACTGTAGTGTGTACCGCTTGAAGGCTAGCAGAACAGCATCATAGGCTGTTCGACTGTACGCAAGGTAAAAGTTCAGCTGAGATTTCATTGGTCGTTTCACAACTTTCCATTCCATAACTTTAATATCAATTAAAAATCGTCGAAATATAAAACCACTGTTTAGTCGTGATGTACAAAGTTAATGTACGTATCAAGATTTCTATATATCTAATATTACCGAAACGACTGTTAGTTTTTGGAAACAATCAAAACAACTTGAAATTAAATTTCAGAATTAATTAATTTTTAATGAAATATTAGAAGATTTAGTACGTCACCAACCTAAGTTTTTTAGTCAAACTATCACGTTTTTAATCAACAGAGAAGCCTATGTCTATATATATATAGTCTATACGTCTATATATATATATATATATATATATATATATATATATATATATATATTCTCTCGAATTAACATGACACTGTTTAACCCTCATCCCACCCCCCCCACCCCCACACCCACACACATACATTTCAGTGACCGCAATTAAAATTAAAAATTTAGTGTTTTTATTTATTTATTTATTTATTTCCATCAAAGTCCAACTTTAAAAACTACACCAAGTATCCTTGACACCGGCAACTTAAATTCCGACGCGTGTGTGTACGTTAATCCCAATTGATCGCGCGACCGATTTACCCCAACCCGGTGATTTCTCTACCAACATCCCGAGGCAGGGGAACTCCTCGCAATGACGGTGGCATTCTACGAAGACAGACTGAGGTCCACGGACGAGCAGGATCTGCTTGGTGGGTTTGATAAAGAGAACGGCAGCCTGGAAGAAAGCTTCGACGAAGAGGAATAAAAAAATGTATAGTTGTATATGCTTTACAGGGAGGAAATATATGCTTTACGACGAGACCGCTGGGTGAAAAGGATTGCGTCAAACTAGATGGGGGGGGGGGGGGTAAAAAATATGCTGAGGATAAACCACGGTTGGAAGATCAGAGAAAAAATTTGAAATAACTTGAGAGAGATTTACTGGGAGTTTGTGGACACTTTACTTTAGCGATGAAGCTGTAATGCATTGATCCCGGATTTTTTTTAATTTTATGTCTGGC